TCTGTTTGATTTGTTGAAAACTAATACTTTTGTTTTTTCTGGGTTTACAGTTCATTGCCATTTATTAACATATTCTGACAAGTTATCAGACAAGATTGTAGTCCATGCTTTGTTCTAGAGAGAAGGACCAGGTCATCTGCATAAAGAGACAGTTGACAGGCGAATTTTCAAGAATTGGAGGATCACAATCAGAATTGAAACTGTTGGGAAGGTCATTCAGAAAAAGGTTAAATAGAGTTGAACTGAGATTACAGTCTTGTTTGACACAAATATTGGAGTTAAATGGTTTTGTTAGTCCTTCTTTACATTTAACTTTATACTTAATTTTACTATACATGTTTTTAATAATTTTATACATGTGGCCAGTAATACCATTATTAAGAAGTTTAAGAAAAAGGCCATTATGCCAAACACTATCAAAGGCCTTTCGAAGATCAATAAACAGGCATACAATTTATTGCCCTTTTTATTGTTATGGTAAATATATTTGTTGATAAGCGTTTTTAAGATGAAAATGTTGTCTGTCGTCCTACATTCACGCCTAAATCCAAATTGGTTATTTGAAAGAATGTTTTTTTGTTCTGAGAAAGAAGTCAACCTATTATTCAGAATACTATTGAATAATTTTCCCAGACAGCTAGAGATAGCTATTCCCCTGTAATTTGACGGGGAGCACTTAGATCCTGATTTATGTATTGGTACTAGAAGGCTCGTACTCCAAGACTGAGGGTAGGTATTTGTGTTATAGATAATATTGAAAAGCTTATGTAATGCATCTACAAAATAATGTTGGCCATATTTTAACATTTCGTCCTCGGCAGTGGATTTATTATTTTTAAGTAAGTTAATGGGTTTCCTAATTTCATTTTTAACAATTGAGAGTTGTAGAGGCACAATGGTTTTCGATAAATTACACAATATGCACTTCAGAAATTTAAGGTATGCGACAAATGGTAATAAAACGTACATATTTGTGATAGACGATACCAACCCCAAGGATACTGCAGTAATGATACACGATATTCCGGTATAAAGTCTGTACGACATATATCATAGGTCATAGGTCATGAACAAGACAACCAAGTAACTGACCTAAATAAATAATAAATATTGTCAAAATACTTGTGAATGAATGAAATCGTCACTATGCTGGAAATATACCTGACATCCTCTCACTGATTCCACTGAGTGATTTTTTAATTGCATTACTATATTTTGTATGTGTTTCTGGTGTATTTTGTTACTCTTAAAATCACGGGACACGGCACATCAATCATTAACAAGCTCCAAAGCCACAGTAGAAGTATTTGGTAATAGGTGATTTTCCGTACAATTGCGAGATCTCGCGAGATGTATGAAAGACGCGCGTCGAACGTCTGCCGCAAAAATCGAACGATTTGATTTTGAACTAGAATTTCTTTATTTCGTAGCTTACATTGACCGGCCGATCTTCGACAGAGGAATATTGCTTCCGAATACCCTTACTTAATTGAAATTGCCTATCATCAAATGTGGACAGCACATTATTAAGCATGGAAATGTCCCCGAAATACTTTCGCGTTTGTCGAATCCCACGCGATGTTTGACGCGACTAATACAGCACAGGAATGACTCAG